ATATAGATTCTTTGGAGCATATAGATGATTTTAGGAACATAATACAGAAAATAAAAGGACAAAAATACTTTCATATTTTTATTTAAAATGTGTTTCATTTTTGACATTTTGGCACAATGCATTTATTTGTCCAGGTAGGCTAAGTGAATGTAAGCAACAATAATGATATCTGAACAACTGAAGAGGGAGGGATTTGCAGACTTAGAGCAAAGTGAAGGCATAGGTTTATTCTTGAGAGACTTTTTGAAGAACCTGTTTTCATTATATAATATAGGCTGTTTTTGCTATAATAAAATACTGCTCTATCAAGTCCTATTAGGCATTGGAGCTTTGCTTTTCCTACTTCTGATGGCAAATGTAGGATTTTGTTTATTAAAAACCTACAATTTTTTGCATGTCCATTCATTATTTTCTCTGTAAGCACAAAGAGACACCGGTGCTTAAAAAATTACTCTTATTATTATTATTGTTCTTATTTTTCTTACTATTATCAGGCTGACAAGAAGCAGAATAGCATCTTTTATGGATCATCAGAAAAATTTGAAGTGTTAATATTCTACTTTGAAAGAAGTAACTTTGGCAAAGACTATGTCTTTAAATGATGCTTTTATATTAAGTCTCAACTTTTCACACAATGATTTCAACAAAATAAGGAATACTGTGAAATCATAGATTTTGTTACTTCAATCTTGGGAATAAAGTCTTAGATTAAATTTTAACAGGATTAGATTCTCTAATCTTGTGTTATTTCAATCTATTTTCATACTTCCTTTTTATAAGTTTCTATTTATTTATTTTGAGAGAGAGCAAGGGGTAGGGGCAGAGAGGTGGGGGGAGAGAGAGAATCCCAAGCAGGCCCCACACTATAGATGCAGAGCCCCATGCTGGGCTTGAAGCTGAAACCAAAAGTCAGACGCTTAATCGACTGAGCCACCCAGGCGCCTCTATTATCACACTTCTAATAAATATTTGGAATTGATTATTTCAATCTTATTGTTTAATAACTAAGTATTTAATATAACATGGTAAAAAAGATTATCCAATGTTAATTATGATTATCATTTGGTGTATAGGTTTTCATATCTATACTGATATATAAATTTTTTTAAAACTCTGATCAACATGTTTTGATGACTTTATTGCTTCCTTATATATTTTTCCTAGTAAGGAGTTTGAAATTATAATTTTGAATCAGTAAATTGTATTCCATGTAAAAGATATACCAAAATGTAATTAACCCCTGCTTTTAAGAGTGGCATGTAGAAGTTGTATCCAGTTTTCTGCTAGTGTAGACAATGTCAATAAAATCATCTTGATGTATAAATTATGGTTTATTTGTTCAAACATTTCCTTATTACATATTTCTGGAAGGAAATTCCTGGGTTAAAAGATATTCCTACTTTGAATGTGTATATATATATTTTATAATCTGGGAAAAGTGTCTTGACCTGTTCCTACGCTAGCTGTGAATGATTTTGCCCATTTTCCCAAATCTTTTACAACACAAGTCTGTTTCAATTGTTTAGATTGTGGAAACAATGTAGACACAGTCCTGAATATATTATGAATAAGCATGAACATTCAGTCCCACAGCCAGAAAACAAATAAAACAAAACACTTTGCACTGAGAGATAAACTATAAATAATTGGGTCACTCTGTTGAGTTGTAGGCTCCAAGCTCAATAAGATTCCCAGAATTTTCCATAAATTGTTAGTTCACTAATGGAAAAACTTTATCCTTGATTTTTCAACAGCTCTTATTTGAAGAAAAGACTTTGCCTTTGTGGATATGATGATGACAATGTGAGAAAGTTTTTTTTTTTTATCTTAAACAAACTAACTGTAAACTCAGTATGTTTGATAATTCTGCTGAGTTTGACAAAAATTTTTTCAATATTGTTTTCTTTTTAATTTGAAGACAAGAGCTTAACGCTTTAAAGCTTGAACTTCTTTCCCAATTTTTTGAAAATAAACTTATTTTTAATAAACATTTGGTCTCTGTATCTTTCTCAGATATTAGTCCATCTCATAGGTTAAAAATAATTTTTAAATTTTAAAACAGCTTACAAATTTAATTACTAGGCATTTCAAAATCCTTTTATAAATTAATGCTTTATTTGTATTTCATCTTTTGCAAATGTCTTTAACATATCTCTATCCCTGTTCCTGTTGAGTGATTTATTTTAATAACAGAGGTCTCGTGTACATTAAATATCATATCAGTCACACAAGAAACTAATTTCATTGTTTTGTGCTTCTTTGCCCATGGTTTAAAATTACTGTTATTTTAAAATATTTTATGTTTATTTATTTATTTTTAAGAGCGAGAGAGACAGAGCATGAGCAGGGGCAGGGCAGAAAGAGAGGGAGACACAGAATCCGAAGCAGGCTCCAGGCTCTATGCTGTCAGCAAAGAGGCCAACATGGGGCTCGAACTCATAGACCACGAGATCATGACCTGAGCTGACGTTGGACGCTTAGTTGACTTAGCTACCCAGGCACCACTAAAATTATTTTTGCAGTCAAATCCATCATTACAGTTTCTTGCAATGTTTCTTGTTTTAGAAAGCCATTTTAACCCCCAAATCTGAAACATATTTATCTAATTTTCTAATATAGTTATGGTTTTATTTTTAACACTTAAATCATTAACTCATTGGGCTTTCAGCCTAAGAAAAATTGGTTTCAAATACCAGCTGTGCATTGCTTGTTCAAGTCAGGACAGGCCCATTGTTCTCTGAGGCTCACTTCCTCACCTTTAAAAGGAGGTTGATAGTTTACAACTCATTAAGTGTTTGTAAGGATTAAATTAGATAATTCATATAAATGGTTTAACAGACTAACTGTTGATAGTAAATAATAAATAAGGAGGAGGAGGATTTATGTGTTCATACATAATAAGAATGTACATAAGTTTATGTAGATCATGTATGTATAGACCAAAACATTGATAATTTACCAAAAACTTATTTAAATGTAGAGATGTAATTATTTGGACAATAAGACATACCTAATGTCAACACATATATGAATAAAGCTTGAAAGTAATTTAATTAAAATGTTTTCAGTCCCATTTGGAACAGAACTACAGATGAAGCTGTGTTCATGAATGCTGGACATACAGAGAAACTTCTTATGCATGACAACGGCTTTGGACTTTGGAGTTTTAAGTCTTTGTTCCCCTACCTTTTTTAATGAAATGATGCAATAAATAATGAATGGTTAACAGTGATGGCAGATCAACAGGCAAAGATAAACACAAAAAAGATACAAGACAGAGTGTACCTGCTCAATATCCTCCAAGTAGTTGCAGATTTAGATTGCTTCTAGGTATCCAGGCATCTGAGCTATCACCGGGAATATCTAAATTGCTTTCTCACAGGTTCTACAAAGCACTCTCTTTACTTTATCTACTCATTTTAGATGGCACCTCATTGAATTTCTCCTAGCCAATTTACTTTCTGCAAAGCTCACATTTCTCTTACAATAGAGAAATTTCTCTAGCTCTACTCTTTTAAGTTTAGCTTAATAGCATGGGGGCTTTCGTTAAGTCTCACTGTCAGCAGAACAGCACAAATTTAACATTTATGTGATCCATTTCTACTAAATAGCAAAAGGAGAAAGTGTTATGCCAAGGGCAACATGGGTATTCATTTTCCCTATGGTTTATGCAGTTACTTGAATGTATCCCAAAAGAAAACTAATATATTGATCAAACCTAATTAGCTTTAATTTACATAAAACTATAGCATGAGGTACTTGTATGCTTTAGAAAAATAGAAGGTTTAAGTGAAAATAACGCGAAGGAATTTCAGACTCATCTGGCACAGAAAACAACCAAAGTATAAAAGTAATATGAGACCAAAATTCTAATCTCTCTTTAAAAATTATTTAACAACAAACATATTAAATCTTAATGATTTTTATTTGTTTAAATGTTTATTTATTTCTTTGAGAGAGAGAAAGAGAAAACATGACTTGGGGAGTGGCAGAAATGTGGGGCTCCAACTCACCAACTGTGAGATCATGACCTGAGCCAAAGTCAGATGCTTAACCCGACTGAGCCACCCAGGCACCCTTAAATTTTAATTGGTTTTTAGATTGCTGTTACATAACACATTTTATATAAGTATCCATATTTATTTTTTTAAACAAAAAAATAGAAATTAAAAAAATTCATCAATAACACCATCATCTAAAGATAAAGAGTAAGAATAATGTTCTAGTGACTCTTCTTCCAGACTCTCTTTACACACACACACACACAAATGTGCATGTGCATGTGAACAATGTTTATGCCATTCACTGAGTTTTATAATCTCCTTTTTTTCTTTTTTAAATTTTATTCTAGAGAGAGAATGTGTGCAAGCAAGAGAGAGGGGCAGAGAGAGAAAGAGAGAGAGACAGAGAGAATCATAGGCAAGCTCCACATTCAGCACGAAGCCTGACATGGGGCTTGATCCCATGATCCCAGGATCATGACCTGAGCAGAAATCAGTGTCCAGGTATCAACCAACTGAGCCACCCAGGCACTCCCCTTTTTTCTTCAATATGGACTTATTAAGATGTTTTCTTGTCATTTCTTCATACAATAAAAATGTATTAAGCAAATATCATTTGCCGCAACAATGCTACTTATGTTGTAAACAGAAATTAATAAAACAGTAATTGCCATTCCCTTGTAGAATTTATATTCTGATTGAGCAGACAGATAATGAACAACTGAATGAATAAAAAAAATATATTTCTGTATATATATATGGGTATAATTATAGATAATGAAAACTGTGAATAAAAATCAAGAACTGAATGGAATAGGTATTAAAAATAAAGCAGCTAAAGGTATTTTACAGGTGACATTTGTGCTGGGCTTGAAAGATTAAGAAAGAGCAACTCTTATGTTCTGTCACTTGGGAGTAATCTAAACCAAAAGAAGCAGGCATGAAGGTTCTACCTAGCAAAGCTTTATTTTGGAAAAGGTATAAAAGGATACCAGTTTCACTGCATATTATTAAAGCTTGGAGTTGAGGCAACTGGATGGCCAATGAATTCACAAGTATAAGGAGTGTGCTTTGTGAGAAGCAGGTCTTAGCGCTAACACCACAGGTCTCTGACCCAGTGAGTGGGTGGAGTTTGATAGTAATCTTGCTACAGATATTAAAAAAAAAAAAAAAGAAAGGATATAAATTCTAGAGTCTAGTGGGAAAGAAGACAGAAGAGGATGTAGTAGTTAGGAAGAAATCAAATCGTTCAGGGTTTTATTTTTTGGTTTTCAGGTAAGATTGAAGCACATGAACTTGAGTTAACCTTTGACTCCTTTTGACCAAAAGAACACAGCAGAAATTATACTGTGTCTATTCCAGGTCTACTCCTTAAGAACTTTAGACTACCATTTCCACTCACAAATTCAGTTGTCATGTAAGAACCTGAACTGCCCCTAGAGCTTGGCACTGTGAGAAAGCCCAAGCTGGCCACATGGAGAGGCTATATACTGAAACATCATACATAAAAGTAGAGCTAGCCGCGGTGGCCCAGCTCAGCTCAGTCACTAGCTGAATGCAGCTAATTGAAGAGCCCCAGCTAATAGGAGGTAAAGCATAACCATCCAGTCAATTCCTGCTCAAATTCCTGACAAACTAGATTATAAAAAGTCATAAAATAAATATTTTCCCACTTAATTTGAGGATGGTTAGTTACACGGAAATAAAGGAAACAGTAAACCTATACAGCCACACCTCTTTTTATTGCACTTTATTATATTTTGCAGATACTGCATTTTTTAAAAAACTAATGGAAGGTTTGTAGCATTCCTGCATGAAACAGGCCTCTAGGCACCATTTTTCCAGCAGCATCTGCTCACCTCAAGCCTCTGTGTCACATTTTGGTAATTTGCACAATATGTCAAATTTATTTTTATTATTATATTTGTTATGGTGATCTGTAATCGGTGCTTATGACTCCCTAAAAGCTTAGATGATAGTTAGCATTTCTTAGCTAATAAAGTATTTTTAAAATAAGAGTATGTGTTGGGGTGCCTGGGTGGCTCAGTCGGTTAAGCGTCCAACTTCATCTCAGGTCATGATCTCATGGTTTGTGGGTTTGAGTGCCACATCGGGCTCTGTGCTGACAGCTCAGAGCCTGGAGCCTGCTTCAGATTCTTTGTCTCCCTCTCTCTCTGACCCTCCCCTGCTCATACTATCTCTCTTTTTCTCTTTCTCAGAAATAAATAAAACATTAAAAAATTAAAAGAAAATCATAGTATGTGCATTTTTTAGACATAATGCTATTGCACACTTTATAGACTACAGTATAGGATAAACAGAACTTCTACATGAGCTGGGTAACAAAAAAAAATCATCTGACTAACTTTATTGTGATATTCTTTATTGCAGTGAGCTGGAACTGAACCCACAATACCTCCAACATGTGTTGCATTATAATATAATGTTATATAAAAACACAAATAAAATTATATTATATAGGATATTATGTTATACCATAATATAATTTTAGGTAATGAGAATATTTGTTCATCTTTCCTAGGCAAATATTATGTTTACAGGTAAAATCATTCTATTTACTATGCATTGCACTTTTATAACAATATAATTTCACTCAGGAAATTTTTTATTGGCACAAAATAGCTGCCTGCAAAATGGGGTTAAAGACATAGACAGTTTCTTAATACCAAAATTAATATTTCTACAAAATTGCCTTAGGGCTCTGTTAAAGTAAGTTTAAGAATAGTTTTCCATAAACTATTACTTGACATACCTTTATTTAGACAAATGCTGTTCAGCAGAAATAAAATTCAAGCTACATATGTTATTTTAAAAGTAGTAAAAAGAAAGAGGACAAATTGGTTTTAACAATATATTTCATTTACTTATTATATATTTATGTTATTTGCTATAGATGTTCATAGAGCATATTATATATTATATAAATTAATCTATTCTTATAATAGTAAATATATAATATGTTTAGTATTAGTCATATAATATGTATTTATTTTATTTTTTTCCAAATAGTCAAAATCTTGGCATTTCAATATGTAATCAATATAAATATTATTAATGATAATATATAATGTATATGTAATATATACACAGTTTTCATATCAAAATTTCAAAATTCAGTGTGTACTCACACAGAGCATATATCAATTTAGGTACTGTATTTTTATCAAAATTATTAATCTGTATTTAAGTTTTATAAAATATATCTAAAACTTTTATATCTGATATTAGTTTCTAAAGTTAATTACTTTGTGAGCATTTTATAATTTATATAACTGTTGAATCACTGATACTAATATAAGTCAACTATACTTTTAAAAAATAAAAAAATAGTTCATTATAATTATATAAAATTATAAATTCTGTTCTTCACAGACTAGACATAATTTTTAGTACTCAATGACCACTAGCTACCATATTGAATGGGGAAGGGTTAAACTATGGATTTCTTGATATTGTATTCTTAGACTCATGTTTACATTTTGCACTTAAAAATGAATTGTTCTAAACTTTATGAAATCAAACAATCAAAAAGGGTACTTGTTTTCAATGCAGTTTAACACGACACCAGTCACTCACCTCATTCTGATTCAGCAGATTAGTAGTTGGATTAGATCATTAAGATGCAAGTGGTCCACAAATCTCATTTTGAGAAAGCAATGGTGCTGGAAACTCCAGGACAGAGGTGGGACTGGGAGTGGTGATTAGTTTGCCCTAATGCCTAGAGCTTATGTGGCTTATAAATAGCATTTTGTCCCTAAGACCATATTCCTAGGAAATAAGAAAAAGTAAATAAATCCTAAAAAGGAGACCGTGCCCATATCTTGTGCAGAAAAACCACATTTCCCTTTAACTAACCCCAACCCTAATGGAAATATATTAGTAAAGAGGAGCTTTCAGTTGTACCTGGGAATACAATATGACCACATATTGTTTGGAATATGGCCAAATTACTGCTTCCCTTCTTTAATCCCGATTTCAATTACCTTCATTTTCAAGTTACCATTCATCACTTGATACTTAAAAGTTAATGGAGAGCATGGCTTTATTCTTATGTTATTCTTTTTTAAAAAATGTTTATGTATTTTTGAGAGGGGGGGGACACAGAGCATGAGTGGCGGAGGGACAGAGAGAAAGGGAGACACAGAATCCGAAGCAGGCTCCAGGCTCTGAGCTGTCGGCACAGAGCCAGACCTGGGGCTCAAACCCAGGAACCACGAGATTATGACCTGAGCCAGTCAGAGGCTTAACTGACTGAATCACCGAGGGACCCCTATGTTATTCTTGATTTATGTCTAAATCCTAAGTGATCTCATCTACATCCAAAATTTTCGCTACCACTTATATGCTGATGGTTTCCAAAACGTTATATTTCTAGATCTATATTTGTAAATTGTACTTACTTGTTATCAACATTTGAATGACTCATAGGCATCTTAAACTCAACGTCTAAAATGAAACTTCTTTTTGTTTCCAATTATTTTTAGGTCTCCTTTTTTATTTTCTCTCTTCTGAAATGTATTATTATCTACAAGTTAAAGCCAGACATCAGTGATTCATTCTTGATGATTTTTCTTTCTCATTTTCTACTTTACTCATTGAAGTGTAGCACTTTATTTGTTTAATATCTCTTGACCCCGTTCCTTTCTTTCTGTCTCCACCATCATTGCCTTGTTTTTCATACATGACTACTTATAAAATTCCATGTTAATTCTCTGATTGTTAATTCCACTAATTATCTTGCTTTTACTGGCCTTTATTATGCCTCTGCATAAAATGACGTTCTTCATTGTTTTCTGGAAAATTATAATCTCTCTAATATAATTCACAAAACCACTCATGGTATAAACCTCTCTTTTCTCTTTGACTTGATTTTTCTGTGTCTTATATAGTGTCTGCTGCATATCACGTACAAAAAAAACCATGCAGAAAACATACTTGGTTTCTTTTTTTAAAAAACTCAGAGAACATACTTCTTCGTTTTACTTTTATTGATATTTCACATATTCAGTTAAAATTAACCAGGAAATTTACTAAAAAATGGCCAATATTTGACACCATTCATTTAATGAAGTTATTTACAGATCTATATTATGTAAATAAAATTATCATTGCTATTATTTTAATATAATAAACAAATATTAAATGAATTTATTACAGGGTTTAAAAAAATTAATGTTGTAGTTTCTTATTATATGGAAGTCCAGCAGGACATAATAAACAGATACTTGACTGTAATCTAGAAACTCAGGTTTTGGTCATAATTCTGCCAATAAATAGCCAAACAACTTTTGTCAGATAAACTAACCTCTGTAAGTCTCAGCTAACAACTTTCTTATCTGTGAAATAAGTTGGCTGAGCTAGATAATCGGTATGTTTCTTTCCACCTGATTTTATCCAGGTCAGTATTATTAAATAGAATAATGCCCCCTGCCACAGAAGACTACCGATTTCACTGTTAAATATGACTACTAACTCCACTGGAATCCTTTAGCAAGTGTTTTCAATATATTAAACCTAAAACTGTTTCATTTTCTTGATTTGAGATACAGATAAAGTAAAATGCATATATCAACAGTTGATTTACAAATTATATTTGTCTATTGTGAACAAAAACATGAGCATTTATAAATAGCATACGAAGAATTTAGTACTCCTCAGCCCTCATACTCTTACGGATAGCATCATTCAAAAATATTATCACCCATTCAGCATTGTTACTGTTTTCCCTAATAGTAGAATTTATATATCTCATAAGCACTCTTATTTTATGGTGATATTATTGGTCAAAATAATCACCACCCACAATCTGAATGTTCTCAAAATTTCCTAGGGCAATCAATGTAAATAAAACTTCCAAGTATTTTAAACAATAATGATAATAATATAAAATAGAAAAAAAATCCACATTACAATTTTTATTTGCTGAACGTGTTTTTACCTAATAAATAAAGAACACATTTCATTTGAAACTGTCACCAGCTAGACCCCAAGACATTTTACTTCCTGCCAGCCTGTATTCACAGAACTTTTTCCTACATTATTCTTTAATCTCTTCTTTCCAGTTTTTCTCTTACCTTAGGCAAACCACCTAATGGCTTTAATATCCTGTGATGGAAACCAAAAATAACCCGGAA